AGAGAGAGAGAGAGAGAGAGAGAGAGAGAGAGAGAGAGAGAGAGAGAGAGAGAGAGAGAGAGAGAGCAGGAGGCGGTGGTGGAGGAGGAGGAGGACTGACCTCCGAAGACCGCGATGGCGCGGTGGATGCCGACCGTCAGGTTCGGTGGGAGGGGCGGCGAACTTCGAGCGCTGTTTTTTTTTTTTGGTGTTCGTGCGTGTGGAAGTTTTTTTCATGGTATATCGGATAGACCAGGCGGTCTTCCGGGTCTCAAAAGGCCCGGGATAAAATTCTTCAGGCGGTCAATGGGATTTTTTCTGGATGCTATTGCTATATCGGGGGCCAAAGTCCCACTTGGCCTGATTCTTCACTCCCCACCGTCTATCTTCCTGAATCTAAGGGTCAGAAATCGAGAATTCGGGCAAGTGGGGCTTGACGCCGGGCTTTGGGGGCAAAGCTTAGTCTCCTGTCGTTTCCCGTGTCTCAAAAGGCCCAGATTGTACTAACGACGCCCAGCAACGGGACCGGTCAACCTGCACGGCAACCGGACCGGTCAACCTGCATTGCAACCGGACTGGTCAACGGGGACAGTCAACCGGGCAGGTGAACCCGGTCAACCTGCACGGCAGCGGGACCGGTCAACTTGCACGGCAACTGGACAGGTCAACCTGCATGGCGACCGAACCCGTCAACCTGCACGGCAACAGGACTGGTCAACCTGCATGGCAACCGGACAGCAACCGGAGAGGTGACCCCGGTCAACCTGCACGGCAGGCGGACCGGTCAACCTGCATGGCAACCGGACTGCTCAACCGGGACAGCGACCGGACCTGTGAACCCGCTCAACCTGCACGGCAGCCGAACCGGCCAACCTGCATGCAACCGGACCCCTCCACCAGGATGTCAACCTTCGAGCCCGGTCAACCTGCATGGCAACCGGACGGGTCAACCGGGACCGCCACTGGATAGGTGAACCCGGTCAACCTGGACAGCAACCGGGCCTCGGTCAATTGGGATGGCAACAGGACTGGTGAACCCCGGTCCATTGGGACAGCAACCCGACTGGTGAACCTGCACACCCCCTGGACAGGTGAACCTGTGCACGCCCTGGAGGCCTGGGCAAGCAGCCTAGATTGTAGCTCTATTCGGGTGAAGACCATAGTTGATGATTGATTTCTGTTCTGCTGTCTGGTGGTCCCATAAGCTGGTGCAGAAGCAGAAGCAGAAGCAGAAGCAGAAGCAGAAGCAGAAGCAGAGGAAGCCTCCTCAGGATCCACCCGTGCTACTGGTAGGCCTTATCCACACCCTTCCAGCTTGTGACACCATCCCTTTTTGCGTGTGAGAGATTACAGCACCCATGCAAGCCCCCAAAACACTGTGCTTACCCACTGTGAGGAGTCTCAATAGCAATCGATAGTACATGTATGCCTCTCTCTCTCTTCTCTCTCTCTCTCTCTCTCTCTCTCTCTCTCTCTCTCTCTCTCTCTCTCTCTCCCCACGGCCACTTCGGGCTTCTCCCCTTGTCGCCACCTCAGCAATGCATGTTCCCTCTGGCACCCTCTGACATAATCACTGTGCAGATCATAACAGGGCTCCCATCCCTCCACGTCAGCAATAAGATATGGAGGATGGCGCACAACTTCCTCACAGCCCCTCATCTCCCATCAGTCTCACAGCCCTGATCACACGTGTCGTCTCCAGGTAAGTCCAGATAAGCTTCCCCTCGTCTCCCATCAGACTCACAGCCCGGATCCTCCTCCTCCTCGCCAATCCTCATCACCTAGTCTACAGCTATGGCGGCTATGGCCGCACCAACATAATCTTCCTCTAGGCTGGAGCCCTCCAGCAGCATCTGGCAGCAGCCTCGTGATACAGCACTAGCATCAAGCCAGCGCAAGGCAGAATGCCTTCCCAGTGGTCTGGCTGACCTTATGTAGTGTTAACCTGGGAAGAACGAAAAGCGTCCACTGGGAGTATCATGCTTCCAGGACAGGATCGTACAAGAAGTGGCATGGACCATTCTTCCCTTTGATCGTGTCTACGCTTCAGTGGACCATTCTTCCCTTTGACCGTGTCTACGCTTCAGATTGGCCACAGCTCGACGGCCTGGATGCAGCCTTGAAGCAGAGGTACCTTTTCCCAGTTGGGACTGGAATCTTCTGGATACCTGCAGACAACCATCGATGTGCATCTGATCCATGGCCCAGGCTGACTGCTGGGTTGACTTTGACTTTGGGCCTGATTTTCCCCCCGCTGGGTCTGACTCTTGATTTTCCAAGACTCAGCCAACTCGCGTGGGGCCTCTGGCCGCTGCTTTTGACTCAGGCCTTGATATCCCTTGAACCTATGCCCGCTACCAGTGAACCTATGCCCGCTACCAGACAGTTCTCAGACTTGGGACGCGACTTTTGGCCTGTGTTTCTGGCCTTTGACTGAACGTGACGACCCTAGCCTGCGGCTGTATGTCTATGAAGTTATGAACTGAGTTTATTACAGGTTGTCTCAGGACTTCTTCTTTTGATTTCGGTTTTCAAGTCCTTTGAGGGAGGGCCTCTCTCCATATCTTCATTAAAGCTTTCCAGTAGGGTAGAAGGGTGCGATCTTCTTCTTCCGGAGGAGAGAGCCTCTGGTTCCTCTTTTTCTTTCTGTCTTAGGACTCCATTCCTTGTTCAGTTTGGGGCATGACCTCTCTCCTGGACCATATCCTGATTAACGACGTCCAGTAGGGTAGAAGGGTGCCATTTTCTTCTTCCCGAGGAGAGCCTTTGGTTCTTGTTTTTCTTCCTGTCTTAGGACTCCATTGCTTGTTCGGTGGAGCTGTTTCAGTACTTACCCCTCCTACCGGTAGTATAAAATAAAGTTTAATAAACCCTAAACCGTGCACGTTGTTGCCATGTAAAGGGGGCAAAACCCCACTAACCTTGAACATTTCCTCGATCTTGAACCATGTGACATCAGGTGGTCAGCATAAAATCCAAAGAAGACAAACAACATCAGCAAGCATGAGGCCACTCAGTTTGCAGGGCAATAGCGGCTGGAACTGAACGAGAATGACATGCACAGATCAAGGACTGGGTCCAACTGGCCCAATTAAGGAGCGTTTGAGTTCCTCTTGGCTGTGCAGATGTGTGTGTGTGTGTGTGTGTGTGTGTGTGTGTGTGTGTGTGTGTGTGTGTGTGTGTGTTGTTAAAGCACCCCAAATTCTCTCTCTCGTTCCCTCCACATTGTCCACAAGTCATAATAACAAACCATCCCTAACGAAAAAAGTATAGATAAACAATATAATAGAAAATGCAAGGTTGGCCACATTTGTGTGGTTCAGCACCAAGTGCCCACACACCCATCTCCCGCCGAAGCGGCACACTTGCACATATACGTATATATTTATTTGATCCATAAAAGGGTGGAGGGCAAGAAGCAACTTACCTAAGAAGGAGGACTCCACCAGCAAGAAAGCACCGACCCCATCTGCCATAGGTGCGGAAAAACTTGGAGAGCCCTCCACGTTGGCCAACAAAACCACAAAACAGCGTAACACAAAAGGCTCCACTAACAAAAAAGCACCGACCACACACGCCAATGGTCTAAAAAAGTTTTAAAGCCCTCTGCGCCGGCCTACAACGCCACCACAAATCAAAAATACACCGCAGGACCTGTACGCAACACCAAGAGTATCATGAACCTCCCCCTGCCGCGCGACCTGCAGAATTGGATGATGTCCTAGTGCTACAGCAAGGCCACTGCGAGAACTATGCCAAATTCCACAAGATCTCCACGCGATACCAGGAGCGCTACCGGTTAAAACTCTTGGTAGAGCTCCTGGTATCGCGTGGAGATCTTGTGGAATACCTAGAAGCCTGCAGGCACCCCATTCTTCCATGTGCTCCAAAAGTGGAAGGCACCCCATTCTTCCCTGTGTTTGGAAAGAGAAGCCTGCAGGATTGACACCCACAGCAAACACTCTCTGAGCCTCCTTGCAGAGATATTTCTGGCCAAAACCCCAAACTCCCACCCCAGAAAAAAAACTCGCGGCCACCCACAGACATTACACCCCATGCTACAAAGCAGGGCAAAGAATTAGGCCACGTATAAAAAAAAAACAAACCAACAAACTCTGTGTGTGCGCTCGCGCCTGTGTGTGTGTGTGTGTGTGTGTGTGTGTGTGTGTGTGTGTGTGTGTGTGTGTGTGTGNTGTGTGTGTGTGTGTGTGTGTGTGTGTGTAATTTGGGACATAAGGCCACCGCGACGTGATCGCAGCGAGCTGTGCTTAGGTGTACAGTCAATATCATATCACGACTGAGAGCAATCCGCATCATATGGTAAATACAGAAGGCACACATCCCAAACAAGAAAGCACAACAATGTGCATACAGTGGCCTTCACCAACCCTACACAGACACAAGGATTAGAGCCCGAGGGCACTAAGCTGTGAGCCAAACGCAACAGTCCAAAAGAACAGGTCTAATGACAACACGCAGCGAAGCGCCCAACCAACAGCAAGGCAAATAAGGAAATCAGGTCACACAGGCTGGAGGGCAGGGGGAAGGTGGGCGGGCAACCAAACAGTACAAGGCAACAAGGGAAAGGCAGATGAAACATGGTGCAGGATCGATGAGCAGCAAGAATCAAGGCAAAAAGCAGGGAGGCAATGAGTTTGAGCAACAAGCGGGAGCAAATCATATATAGGTTGGAGGGCACGGGGCAGGCGGGTGGGCTTACAAGCAACAAAGGAAAAGCAGTGAGCCAAGCAAGAACAAGGCATAAGCAACAAGGCACCAAGCAGAAAACCAAAAAAAAATACCAGTCCCAAAAGAGCCCAAGGACTGAAAGTCTGAAACAAATAAAAAGTTAAAAACTGATGGTAACAAGATTGCTTCGTCGGGGGAGTAGTCCAGGCATAAGCAACAAGGCAACAAGCAGAAAACCAAAAAAATACAAGTCCCCAAAAAAGCCAAAGACTGAAAACAAAAACAAAAACTGATGATAACAAGATTGTTTTGTCGGGGGAGTAGTCCAGGGGCCGGTGTGGTATTGCACCGGGACTGTGGGTTGCGGGTCGAGCCTCGAGGAGACGAACCTCGGGTAGATCTTGTGCCAACAGTCCTGCATTCTGTCCGAGAGGGACTTAGAAACAGCTTATTGAAAAAAAAAAAAAAAAAAAAAAAAAAAAAAGAAACAGCTCATTGACCTGTGGTGGGGCCAAAGCCCTGGACATGTTGTGAATTGCTGTCGTATAATTTGTATTGTAATACTCTGGGACGCTGGACCCGGTTTCCAGCAGGTGAAGCTCCCCACCAATAGACAGGCACAACCGGGGAAGTCTGCTGATAGGAGCTGCTCCTATCACCCCTCCTAGCAGGCCAGGACCGGCTTTGCAGGGGGGAAAAAAAAAAGATTGTTTCGTCGGAGTTGCACCAACTCATCAAGACGCTGAACCCTGGACGATATGCAGAATCTCCGTATTGGATGGTGTGGGTCATGACCCCCCTGTCCCTTGTTGAAGGCAGACTGTCCCCCAGCAGCGGGCTGCAACCCAGCGAAGCACTAGGCAATGCTGCAGAGGCAACACAGCTGCTCAATGACAAAGACGACTGCAAGGAACGACAATAGCAAGCGGATGAACAGCACAGCAACCATGGAGTGAATCACAAGGCAGCACAAGCAAGGGAACCACACTGCAAGGGACGACAGGGCGAGTGGACAAGCAGCACTGCAACCATGCAGTGAAGCACAAAGCAACACAACTACAAGGTACGCAAGCGAAGGACATGGAAGGCGCGGCTTGCGGATAGGCGGTAAGGCAGCGGAGCACCGAAGCGCAAGGCAACACCAACAGCATGGCCACACCACAGAGTGAATACAGCAGCTTGCCAAGAATGACCCACAAAGCAAGCAGGATGTGCAGCAAGGCAGCAGGTGAGCGCAGACGAGGCAGTCCACACGTCCAACACGGAGCATATCGGCACATGACCTACTCACATCAGGGGGTGAACCCCGCAGACTGTTGGTTCCCACCACCCACTGAGCAAGAGAGTCACTCCGATGCACATCCATCATCACCCATAGGGCAGACAGACATCCCAAACCGAGCAGCCCCCCTAAGAGTGCTGCAAGCACTCCAAACAAAGAAGGTAACCGACTGTTTGGCACTACTTAAGGGTGCTCAGTTGGGTAAACAAAAAATACTTGGAAAAAATCGAAGAAAAAACAAACTAAAAAAGAAAGACTGACATACATAAAAGTGATTGTGTGTTGTCATATTCGCTATACACTGAAAAAAAAAGCATATGACTGTGCCAGACTGTTTCGTCGGACTTTCACCGACTCATCAGGAGGTTGAACCCCGACAGTCAGTCTTCCCAGGATTCAAATGACTGATGGATAAGTACTCACCATATCGCCCAGAGTTAGCGACACCCATCCCTGACAGAGAAAAGCGGTCGACTTGTGTGTGATAACCAATTTGCTTTACATGACACGGACACACACACATGATCCTCTTATGCCCGCGTGACGAAACAGTGAAAACACCCCAGTGGTCAGATACGTACGAACACCCAGGCATCTCGTCTTCATTTCAGATTGTGTAAATTTGAGACTGTAAACACAAAGTGACTTGCAGGGATCTTACCTGACATTGCACTTCTCTGTTCCATTCCGACGTGCAGAAGTCAGGCCACATCCATTTCTCCTAGGAAGTGTATCAGCTGCACACCCACCACCGGGCTTTGGAGGTGGGAAGCGACTGAGAATGGAGCAGATCATCACTACCACCGGCGCAACGAGCATCAGACTTGGGCCCTCCCCACACATATCAACCGTGTACTCTCATCGACATCATCCATGCTCGGTCCGTTCCCGAGAAACTGTGCTTCCGGGAACAATAAGATGGCGAGGAGCAGCATCAACCGTGCCTGTGTCCGTGCCCCTGCCAACATCCCAATATCGCCAGTGTGTGTCAGGGGTTGTTTGTGGTCACAGGAGACATGGCTCTGTCCTGGTGAGCAGGCAATGCAAGCAATCTTCTCAAAGCAGGGCAACCAACAGAGGTCCAGAGGAGAGAACTTCGTCCTCATCATTTTGTCCTCCTCTTCGTGCTGTTCCTCCTCCTCCTCCTCCTCCTTGTCCCCCTCGGAATCAGCAGAGGTTGCTGCCGACAACGAGGAGGAAAAACTTTCGCAGACTCTCATCCCCTCTCTACAGCCACCACTCTGGCTGGTCGGATCCAATTGCATCATACGGAGGGAGATTGGTGTTGAATAACTGCCGAGGAGGACGGACAGAAGGGGTGCAGATCTCCTCCTCTGCTGGCCGCTCCCTGCAACCATGCTTGTCGGGGTCTTTCCTGGGGAGGTGCATTTGTTTGCGTCAAGGTGCTCCAGCTCCTTCCCACCATCAACACTCGGAGAGAAGAAAATGGCTGCCGATACCACCAACACGGTTGGTCTTACCAAGGAGTGTGTATATTTCTGCCCCAGCATCCCCAGATGTCGAAAACATGGAAGGACGGCCAAAAGAAGGTGAGATAAGTTCGAGCATTCTTCCTCCGGAGCCGTCCAAGCCGGTCATCACGTTTCCATTTATCTTGAGCTTGATGATGAAGAACAAACTGAGGCTGTTCCTGGCTTGCTTGTCCCTGATTGCGGGGACCACTAGTGTCCTTATGATGCCCCGCTACTCCGGAAGGTTCTTTGAAGTGATCGCGGGCATCACTCCCGGTTCAATCAAGGACCTTCTTTTGCGTCTCGCTGTCTATTATACTGTCGAAGCTGTGAGCACCGTCATCTTTATCAGCAGTATGTGTGGGATGTGGGAGAACGTGATCGCTGAGGTGAGAGTAGCGGTCTTTGAGCGGATCATCACACAGAAGATTCAGTTCTTCGATACCCACAAGGTTGGCGAATTGACGGCCTTGATGTCAAACGACGTAAATGCCGTAAGGGACTTAGTATTTGACAATGTGTCCCGAGATCGAGGGCTGCGATCGATATCTGAAGTCCTGGGAACATTGTCTATGCTCTGGCTCTTGTCTCCACAGATTGCTCCCATCCTGGGACTGCTCATAGTGTGCTTCTCAGCCGGGTTCTCGCTCTTCCGGCGCACCAGCATTCCGTTCTTCATCCATCACTCCAAGTCTCAAGTTCACATCTCTGAAGTTGCAAACGAGACCTTCGCCGCGATCCGTACTGTCCGATTGTTTGGCGGGGAAACGAAACAGATGGACAAACTTCAAGTCCAGTTGGGGGCCTCTCTCAAGAATGGCATAAAGCTCGGATTCCTTAAGGGGTGCAATGAATCGTTTACGCGAATTGCAGTCTATCTTTCCTTAATTGCTGTCTATACGATTGGTGGTATGCAAGTCGAGAAAGGTACTCTTCCCGTACGTGCAATGGTTGCATTCATTGGCTACACATTCACCCTCACGTTTGCGATGCAAGGCCTTGTGAACACCCTGGGCGATCTCCGGAAAACCATCACTTCCGTAGAAAGAATCAATACAGTTCTCGCCAATGCTGAACCCGATAGTGCACTTATGGCAAGCTTGAAGAGAAACCGCGAGAAGAATGCAGACATTTCAGGATCCCCGGAGTGTGAACCCACATTTCTTCTCCCAGAGCAAATCCTTGACAGTGACAAGGAGAAAGAGGAAGGCCGCGAGGGTGGCGAAGCTGGTGATCATTCTGTTGGCGACCATCATGATGGAGGAATACCCATCGATGTGAATGGGCTGGGGCGGATGGAGCAGGCAACGGAACTTGTTCGTGCTGAGGATGGGCAGAGTTCCCCAATAACTGCAGCAGGGGTCGTCGGCACAAGAAGCGTCTGCAATCTTGCTTGGAACGGCAGTATTGCCATTGAAGGTGTGACGTTCGCGTACCCCGCTCGGTCCGATGTGACCGTCTTGGATGCAGTGAAGTTCACAATGCCGCGGGGCAAGGTCACTGCTCTTGTCGGTCCAAGCGGTTCTGGGAAGAGCACGATTGTGCAGCTCATCTCAAGGTTTTACGAACCCACCGATGGGAAAATCACCTTGAGTGGACTGGATATTCGAGACTTTGATAAGAGGGAGTGGGCGTCAGCAATCGCGGTCGTCAGCCAGGAGCCGGTGCTCTTTGCGATGTCGGTGGCCGAGAATATCGCATACGGCTTGCCTGCTCTTGCAAGGCCTAGTCAAGAAGCGATTATCGAGGCTGCCAAGGCAGCAAACGCACACGACTTCGTCGTTGCTCTGCCGCATGGGTACAACACCATGGTAGGGGAGAGAGGGGGTCTGCTGAGTGGGGGACAGAGACAGCGGATTGCAATTGCGAGGGCCTTGCTCAAGAACTCGCCCATCCTCGTACTTGACGAGGCGACCAGTGCTCTCGACAGCGTAAGCGAGCAGCTCGTTCAGCAGGCTCTTAATCACCTCATGAAAGGACGGACGTCCCTCGTGATTGCTCACAGACTAAGTACCACGCAGTCAGCAGACCAGATCATTGTCCTCGATAAGGGGAGAGTCCTTGAGATCGGAACCCATCAGGAGCTGGTCGAACGGGGTGCTCTTTATGCCAACCTCGTCAGCAATCAGCGCCTTGTTTTCGAATGATCGTCCGCCTGAGGATGAACCAGCTTGTTCTCGAATGAGCTTCAGAACGTAGCCGCTTGTTTTCGAGTGAGCATCAGGTGGATTTACCGGTTTGTTGCAAATGAGCATCAGCAATCGGCGGCTTGTTTTCGAATGAGCATCAGCATGAGAAAGTACCACACACCCTTGGCGGATCGGATCCTTGTCTTCACAAACACACAAGCAAACATTGCTCGAGATGGAAACAAACCAGAAGCTCATCCAAAAAGATGCCCCTACGACGGAAGACCGATTTAACCACAAGTGGCCTCATTTTGCATGTGGAGAGGAAGACGGATATCCCTTGTAATCACTCACAAGTACCACACAGGCAGTAAACACGTCCTTATCGAAAAAGACTCCAGGAGGAAGGGGCGGCAGCGGCGGCAAAAGCTGACAGAAAGGAATTGGAGGAGTAGAAGTAGGAGGTGGAGGAGGAGGTGTAGAAGGAGATGGTGAGGAGGGAGCAGAGGAGGAGGAGGAGGAGGAGAAGACTGGATCCTCTGGGAGAACTGGCCTGACAAGCTCTCCCATTTCGTATGATTCTGTCCTAGCTTGAATTCCTCAACACCCCTTTCTCAATCTGTTGCTCAGGCTG